TTATACTCTGGTGGGACGACTACTCGGCACGACCAGTGAGAGTTAAGGCGCAGGACCGACGGCTTTACGTGCTCTCCGAGGCACGGGGGTGAAACACAGCCAACTTCCCAACTTCGGGCTGTTACTGAGGCTTACTATACAGAGACTCAATAACTAAACTTGGCCCGACCCGGGACTCGAACCCAGGACCTCCGAGTGTGCAGCCGTACATGCTAGCCACTACACCACCGAAACATACTGAGAGAATGTAAACATTTTCTTGTTAATCTTTATCGCAATCAAGGGATGCATCAGTGGGACGTTAAAGTGAATTATTATTGACTAGCGACTCACTACGACACAAATATATACGTACAACTAGATACGTTTTAATTGTTAGTATAGATTTCTCAGAGATGAGATGTTTTTCCGCAGTAAAAAGTATTCTATATACCGATATATAACCCGGATAACCAGCTATCATCATACCAAATTTCATCAAAATTTGTCCAGTGGTTTTCTCGTGATGCGTTCCCAGACAGACAGACAAGAATTATAAAAACTATAAATTCGACCTCTGTATCGATAATAATGACTGATGACTATTTCAATAAGATTTTGCGAATATTTAATGTACAGATTCGACCCAGAATTTAATCTTTATCTTTATATTATATAAAAATCGGGTTCTTAGTTTTAAGTGAACCCGGTAGTTGGCGCTCATGTCGAATATTCATTTTTTTTTTATTTTGTAGGACAACGTCTGCTTCCCGGATCAACTAGTTTTTTATAGATTTCCATTTGGAATTTTTAATTTGCCACTAGAGCATCATTATATATAGCTAAAGACTAAAAATTACAATAAAACCGTAGGATGACTCATTACTAATATATTTTTCATATTAAAACCTATTTGGGTTTAAGCCAGATTGACCTATAACTTACATATATCTATCTTTGAAATCGTTGGCTTCTATTCAATGTATTGAAAGTTTTACTATCAATATCAGCTGACTTCTTGCTGTGCACATGGGCAACATGTGTCACAATAAGCAATTAGTGTTGGATTTGCATTTACGTCGATCATAAATAAATGACATTGATCTGAGTTCACGTAATAATAAAATAAAGTGGTACCATGGGCTTTTGCTTGGAGAACCAAGTAAAGCAGGTTCAAACTCCAGGTCTCGCACCTCTAATATTATCATGTTCTAATGATTTCCAACATGATTCCTACTCGTCTTACTGTAAAGAAAAACATCGTGAGTATACATGTTCAGAAGAACTTAACTAGTTGTCAAAAGGTATGTGCAGTCTGCCAACTCGCACTCAGCTAGCGTGGTGGACTATAGCCTGATCCCCCTCGAATTAAAGAATTAGGTCCGTGTCCAGTAGTGGGATGTAAAAAAAAAGTTGAATGAGGAATACACGTCTAGAATAAACTGCATACACTTTCAATAGATAATCTGTTTTAAGAACCTACGTTTAAATAGTATATAATGTTAATGGCTGTTTCTCCTGTATTCTGATATGAATTGTGAAATTATTTTATTAGTTTGAGTCATTTCTTGTTGTTATCAATAACAATAAAATTCAATATATAACTGGGAAGAATCTTACTTACTCAAGAACATTAATTTGTTACACCTCTAGGTAAAGTTCTAAGAAATCAATTGTTAACTGTAACGCCGGCGTGTCCGCGGTCGTGGAGGGATTAATAGAAAATTAACATAAATGCATTGATAATCCTTTGGTAGCAAACTAGCTTTAGAAACATAGTAATACACCGATTACGAAGATTCCGATAAACATAGATTTACACCGAGGTTCTCGTATATGTGAGATTTTTAGCCAATAGATACGATAAAATAAAACATTATGAGGAAACCTGCATGTCTGGGTGAACGTATTTGGTTTTTACTAAACTTGTGAAGCCTGTCAACACGAACTTGGCCAGCGTGATTGATATCATTCCACGCATTGGCAGATGACATGTACAGTGGGACGATGTAAATGCCTAAATTATAACAGAAATACATTAGCAAGAAGTTTTAGATGAAACTGTTACGTAAAATGAAGTTGTGAGTCTAATTGAGATAGTATGTCCAATGTCCAAACCATCGTTAAATGTTACGAGCATGCACTTAATTTACCTTCAACTAAAACATCGTAAAGTTTTATTGTTCATTTGACACTTAATAGCAATAATAAGAGTTAAACATTTTAATGGACTCAGACATGTTGATTGTCTACAATCGTTTGTAACAGTAGAAATCATAGGATAGAAATAAAGAATATTAAGACTATTTCAATTTAATTTATTTTTCTTGTTAATGGCTTCAAAACATGCCAGATGAGTAAAATTTACTTCGTCAATTTCATGTAGAATGGAAAAATTACAACTATTTGATTAAATATTACATATTTATTTATGATATAATATCATACTTTCATAATACAACTTCAGATATCAATAAGCGTAAGCAAAAGACGCGTTAGTTACACCATTTATAACTCAAAAAGGGCTTGGCCAATTTTTATGATATTTGATTTTTTAGATTTCTCTTAGTCCGAAATAGAGTAATAAATATTAAAATATCAGAAAAATTTACAAAAAAAATATTAAAATGTATATGGCTAACGCTAGCTAATACCTATTCATATCTATTTAAAACGTACCAATAATATAATAATTATAAAACACAAACACTTTTTAATACTCTTTATAATATTTTATAATTAATGTAAAATAGATCTAGTATCTACACTATTCCTTAGTAATAAATTCATTCCCTCTTTAATATCCCATTGTGGGGCACACGTCTACCACGAATAGAAAATTGCGAGGGAGATCAGACCGTAGACCATCAGACGCTGGCCAAGTGCGAGTTGCTTATATATCTTTCGAAAGCTTTCTTTTTTTGTATACGAAATGCTGTAAGGTAGGTTAAAAATGATTCGCACCTGAAAATATCAGAGGGTGTTGATCCAGACTATAATCGGCTTAAAAGCCGGTCATCATTTGATTAAATTGTTTTCAATTTGCTTGTATTTTATCCGGTTGCTATATTCTAAATTAATTTAAGCTATACCTGGAATGTTTAATTGATGCTTTCAAGTAAAAATCTACTAAAGACTATTTTAAAGTGAGAGTAGTAATTTTTTAATGACTCGAAATAACGCGACAGAAGCTGCGTTGAAACGAGACGGGGATTATCATTATTAATTAAGCACTAATACTGATAAATGATTGGATGTTTGTATCTGAAATCGAACAATTATAAATTGCGTTCAATAGATTCGATTACTCTATTTCGCTTTGGATGCAGACATAGACAGGGAATGCTGACAGACTATCTATCAACGCGGCAGCTAGTTTGTTCCTAGAAGTGTTACATGTACGACCTACTTCTCATTAGTTGTATCAAGTTAAATAATCGTTGAACCGTAACTTTGTTGCTTTATAATTGTTTTATTCTTCCGTAGATGTATTTCCGATATGTATGCAGTAGCCCAGTGATAACGCGCTCGCTTGAGAAACCGAATGAAGCGGGTTCAAATCCCGGGTCTCGCACGTCTGATATTTTCATGTGCGAATCTTGCTTACTTGCCTTACAGTGAAGGAAAACATCGTGAGGAAATTTGCACGTCTGAGAGAACCTAACAATTTTTCCAAAGACATGTAAAGTCCGCCGCCGCCGTCCGCGTGGCCAGCGTGGTGGACTATGAGACCCCTCGTATGGAAGGGAGGCCCGAGCCCAGCAGTGGGACATTAAAAAGGGCTGTATACATCCATATATACAAATTAAATGAATGCCTTTCTTGTTTTAAAAAATAGCGCTTGTATATAATAGCGCTTGTATGTTAATATGTGTGAATATGTTTGTGTAAAAATAAGCTTACTTGTATTAATCTCTATTATTATTAGAACCATGTTTTCCTATCATTATTAGTAATTTTTAATATAAGACATTGGAAAAATATTTTGGTTTATTTTGACACTTTAAATTAAACAAACCCAACAGAATAGAGTAAAAACTGGAGATGGTTTGCTAAACCAGGTTGACACACAAAACGGATCGGGAGATCTTAATTTGTTATCGGGAAGAACGTGCGCACGTTAATTTTAAAAGAAAGATTAGGAATTTGAACCTATATATAATCCACTAAAGAGTTTATAGCTATTAATAAAATAGTTTGTGGTACATCTATTGGTACCACATTTTATAATTATGTAATTCATTCTTCAGCTTTTTTGTTGGTTCTGGCGCTACTGACATTCATTTTATTAATATTCGCGTCGTATGTCTCACAACCGATTATATTAAATTATAATCTTATCTAGATTAAAACAATCGGATTTGCTCGCGGTGATGTTTAAATGTACACTCAGGATAATGTTGTCGAATATGTCAGAACCGACTTTATCTATACTAATATTATAAAGAGGTGAAGTTTGTGAGTTTATTAGTTTGTGAGGGTGTAGGGTGTAATCATGGATCTACTGAACCGATTTAGATGAAATTTGATAAAAAGATAGATAATAAGATTTCAGACCCTGTGAAGGACATAGAATACTTTTTATCCCGGAAATCATCCCTTAATAGAGTGTAAATGGAGATGAACGAATTGTTTAGGGAAGCAAGCTAGGGATGAACCCCACCGAAGCGAGTGTGAGTCGCTAGTTATTGATATACTCAATACCGTCATAGCCAATTTAATCATAAATTCCATATCCTTAATATTTTTAATGCAACTATAATACGGTTTATTTTTACATGATTTTAACGTGTCGTAGGTAGATTTACTATCGTAAATGTTTTTTTTTAAATTATTGTATTTTATGTATTTCATTAAATCTTGATTTGATAGCGAAATTTATGTTATTTATTAGTTTGTACAATATTGGAATTTCTAATTCATTACTTTGCAAGTAGATATTTTAATTGTCTTTCTTTTATATTTATATGTACCTATTTAATTAGTCAAAGCAATCATATCAGCAATATCCGAGGAGCTTAAAGAAAAGTTAGTACAATTACAAGAGTGAAGTGGCGATGTTCTAGATAATAGCCCCCCAGTCCATCCACCTGCTGATCATGTACTAATTCAATAAATACAGAAGAACACTCTAGTCCAGCTCCAAGGTAGCTGCTTGCCTGTTCTGCATCTGGACAATAATACACAAAGCCTTCATGGAGATCATCAAATTCTAGTGACAAAGAATTCTTCGCCAATGCTTCTATTACCTTTAAACCCAGGGCCTGAAAATAATTCAACAGCCTCAGAACAAGATGTTCCTTGTGGAGATCTATCACATCTTCTTTACATTAAGGACTACCTTATACATAATGATGAAATTGTACTAACCTTTCAACACCGACCGTATTACATGACAGTAAGTTCAATAAATTTCAGTTTATCTACTAGCTTAAAACTTACTTGAAAGGGGTGTAATAAGAGTTGAAAGTTGGTATTGAGAACATATCATTTCTCAAGTTAAAGACAAATATACCTTGTAGTTAAAGAAATAAAGAATATTTCAAATTCCAATCAAGATTAAACAGGGATGATTTCAAGTTTTTTTTAAGTGGATAAGTAGATCTCTTTTCCATACATATGTATATATAGTCTATCTAATCCATACTAACCGTTAAAACGTACCTAGAGACGAACCCGAGCGAACCGAGGATGAGTCGCTAGTTTGTATATAATGCTGATTTGATTTATTTATGCTATAAAAATCAATCTATCTCATAATAGTTATTATAGAATAATTTAGTCGAGTTTATTTACAAAGCGCTTTTACGATTATACCATATTTCAACCTAGATGTACATTTTTTAATCATCACATTTAATTATATGATTTGTTTTATTTATTTCGATTTGCAGTAATAAAAAAATATTATTATTATTGTAAGTTCTACCTCTGTGTAATGTGATTTTAATTATTTATAATTGTTGATTTTTATTTCAAAATAATGCAAGTATATGACAACAAAATAATATTATGAGCGATAAAAACTATACATGGTGGCACAAGTAGTAAAGTAGGAACTATAAAATATTTTGTTTCTCCCGATAAAATTGATACACGAGTCATTTCAGACAAAAAAAATGTGTAACTCAAATTTGTCGTTTGCAGCTTTTTTAAAACACGTACTTTTAATAAAATTGATTAATAACACCTTGTCCCTATAATTGTGACCAAAACAATACGCTTAGTACGTACATATTAAAAAATCTAACTTAAACACGTTCTCCTGAAAAATAGCAAATTTAGAGTTCGAGTAACTAACGGTTCGACGAACTAGCGGTTTAAGAATGTTGTAATTTTACATTTTTTTGTAAAAGTATAAAATTTATGAAGCAAATGAATATGAAATAGAAGAAATGATTAAATCCTTCGATTTTCACGCGATGCTTAACTAAACTGTCGCATTGATATATTTACTTTCAGAATCTCAAGTCTCTTTCGTAATACTTTCTGAATCTCTAGCCTCTTCACTACATATTATAAAACAAAGTCATCCGCCGCGTCTGTCTGTCTATCTGTTCGCGATAAACTCAAAATCTACTGCACCGATTTTCATGCTGTTTTCACTAATGGATAGAGTGGTTCTTGAGAAAGGTATTAGTACATAATTTGTTAAATTTTGTAAACATTGGCTAAAATAAAACTATATTTGTTGGAGGTGTCGGAAAAAAATAAGCTATCTGGGAGCTTTCCACGAAAACGCTGCCTGAACCCTTTGAGATATAACAAAATAATGTATGGTGGAATTGTGTATCTTATATAGGTCTACAGAAAAGTTCCCGATGGCATTTGTCTATCTCTTAAGGATAACATAATATATCCATTTTAATTTAAAAAGTACCTAGGGATGAACCCGAGTGAAACGAGGGTGAGTCACTAGTTTGTAATATAATAAACTTTCGTTTATTTTAAAACTTTTATAATTTATAAATACATTTGTGTATAAATAAGTGTTACTTTAATACTTAATGAATAATAGAGATAATGATTATCATAATAATGATCTAATTAATACACGTGATTTAGTCACATGCCTTTCCATCCACACATATGCTATATATTATAGTATCTTACCTACTATAAATCATATAATATGAACATTGTACCAGTGTACATACATATTTTACTTTATAATTTCCATTTTACGAATCTAATTTTGTTTTATTATTTTATATAGATAATGTTAAAATATAAATAAGATTATGGAAACTCTCGTCGTTGAAAACATTAATAAAAGCAATATTATTAAAATCTGATTCTGAAATTTAATACTGTGTGAAAACTAAAATCCTGTCAGAATCTGTAACTGTTGAGAAATATTAATATATACATTTAGCGCAGTTAAAGTTATTTTGAGACGAATCTCGCAATTTTAGCGACGGCGCTCTCCAGAGCGTTCTCACTGAAATTGTTAAATTAATACATTTACATGCAAAGCCCTTTTGAGTCTTGTTCCGCTGAAAACCATATCATATCTGATAGTTTTATAAAAGAGATTAATGAAACACCCGACGTCGGCGGTGACTCTCGAAGTATGGCAGAAATATATCGCAGCGTCGTAGTTCAAAAATAGTCAGCGCCGACCGACGCCGGGCTGCATACAAAAGTGGAGTGCGGGGCGACCAACATTTCGCCTTATCAAATTTCCCTACCCACACCCATCGCCCACGCCTCACTCAAAATTCCCATTCCGACCTCAACCCCCGCGGCCGGCGGTCATGCATTAGTATGTTAGCACATTACAGTATATCCACTTAACCACCGCACTTTGAAGCATTAATCGATTAATAAGCGCACCTCCGAACTTACACTTTGCACTGCACGGACACCGCTATGAACACTTTCGCGAAGCCGAGACGGTTCGCTCTCGGCGCCAGCCACTACCAAACTGCTTTCCACGGACCCAACCCGCGGCAAGACGCTCCAAAAATACCCCTCATTGTGTGTACATTCACTTATAATACCTAGGCTTTAGTATAAATCTCGCAGAACTTTATAAATAGTACGGGTTCGATACAGCAAAGGTATAAAGCAGTAGATGCAGTCGGCGCTATTAACCTAAATGATTTAACCTGGATACAATGACGAATGCGCACGCGCAGACGCAAGAGTCCACTGATATCTAGATTGGCGATAGATAGTGACAGATACCAGCTGTTACAGAAATTGTCAAATTTACTTCGAATGTTAAATATTGATCCGTAAACAAAATTATTTACATTATCGGCTTATTGTATAAGAAACAGAAGTACTCGTAAATTGATCTTGATTAATTAAACTGATCACAAAATGATACTTAGGAAGTAATATTTCAATTAAACTGAATATAGATAAGATATAAATAATAAATATTTTCTATTAATTGAAGTAGGAATCAATATTAAATTCAAATAGTTTTTACTTTTAAATGCAAGTAAAAGTAGACTCTTTCAGCCTATGCGGCCTCAAATTATGGTCAGGCATAGCGATATGACTATTTGACTTCCTCGGTGATTCCTGATATCTTGACTGCCTCGGTGGTGTAGTAGCTAGCATGTACTGCTGCACACTCGGAGGTCCTGGGTTCGAGATCCGGATCGGGCCAAAGTTTAGTTATCGAGTCTTTTTGTATACTAGCATTACCCGCGGCTCTGCCCGCGTTCAAATGACCAAAAACCAAATTCTTAGGTTTTACATAGTATACTCTTACATTGCGGTTTTTGTATTTTTTCTCATAAATGACATTTTCCCGGGGTAAAAAGTATCCTGTATGTTGACAGACAGACAAAAATTCTAAAAACTATAGATTCGGCCTCTGTATCGATAATAATGTCTATTGTCTATTTCAATAAGATTTTCCAAAAAATATTTAATGTACAGATTCGGCTTGGTTACAATTTTATTAAATGTATAGATTAAGCTTCAGTAACAGCCCGGAGTTGAGCAGTTGGCGGTGTTTCACCCCCGTGCCTCGGAGAGCACGTAAAGCCGTCGGTCCTGCGCCTTAACTCTCACCGGTCGTGTCTCGTGTCGTCCCACCGGAGTATGAGAGAGACAGGAATAGAGAGTGCACTTGTGTCTGCGCGTACACTTGTGCACTATAATATCTCTTGCGCAGTTGGCTAGTCTCAATGAGATTGGCCGCCGTGGCCGGAATCGGTCAGGAGAACATCATCATCATGGTGTCAACTGTATCACCATATCCTCATTACACAAACAGAAATAGTATAAAGAAAAACATATAATGCTTCAACATCACAATACACGTGGCTGTTATCACCAACTTATCTCGGTCAAAAAGTTTTTAGTTGATCATTATTATTCGTAATAAAGTCTTATAATGTTTCTCGACAAATATAAAGCACACGCTGTCCAAATTTCTCTGTATTGCCTTAACTTCTATTTCCGTAGTTTTATTACTTGGCTTCTATATTGATCTAACTTTATAATGAAATTGCGTTAGTTGTCTGCCAAAATTCGCACTTTTCATGTTACTGCTTTGTATGAATTAACACAATATGTTCTGAATAAGTTCCTAAGACTATAATATGTGAATGGCCGATATGTTTTTAGTATTAGGTACAGTAATTATTAACTTATTTTTAAATAACATTATCTTTTCGGATTATTTCGCGGATTTATTTTGATTTTTAGTCCCGACGTTTCGTTGACGTTGATTTTGAGATTATTTGGTTTCATTTCACAAGTCCAATACGTTACAATTGGATTTTAGAGCCTGATTTTTAGTGTTACTCATAAAAGTGAGTTTTTAGTGTGTGTCTTCTTAATATAAAATTTGGCAACATAGGTACTAAACAAATGAAATAAATAAATAAAATAAATGGCTTAATCGAATATGTCATTAAAAAACTTTCTTCTTACAAATTAGCTACGTATACGTCTGCACTAAAAACAGAAAAATAAAAACACAAAAAAGACCACTTCCAGACACTAAAAAGTAAAAAATAACTGAACTGGAATTTTCATTACTATTTCGACCTTTATGACAAACTAAAGTTAATTAGTGCAAAGCGAATGCTTGGTGGCTGTTTGGTGGCCGACAAACATTTACATGAATATTAGAAACATTAGTCGCGGGAACTACAACAAAATCTTTGGATTAAGATATAGTGCGTAGAAATTAGCTACAGGAACCACACCTGGTTTTGGATACCTAAAAATTGTATAGTAATAGACACATAGTCAGGGCCGGATATAGGAGAGGGCAACCGGGGCTAGAGCCCCGGGGCCTCCACAAGAGACGGGCCTCCACAAAAGAAATTAAAATAAATCAAATTCTGACTGGCGACAAGTTTTTGGTTTTTATTTTATTTTTTTCAATTTTTTTTCTCACTTTTATCTATAATACTTGTACAAATATGATTGATTATATTATTCTTAAATATTAAAAACAATTTATCTATAATATTCGTTCACCGCAGTTCATCGCAGTCACGTTAAAAGAGGTTACAGAGAGATTATGATTAATTAATTATAATCATGCGTTGTTTTGGTTCTGCGTGAGTTTATTTATTTTATAATTTTAAGGTCTGTAATATTATCATCAAATGTGCATGCACTCAAAAATAATATTTTCCTATATCTACTCCATAGGTTTAGGTAGTTAACTAAAGTTAAACAAAGAACTCATGGGAACTTAACCTTTTATTACAAAAATTGAACACATAATGTCAACTAGCGAATTACCCTCGCTTCGCTTCTAGGTACGCGGATTTTGTTCACAATTTCATGGGATTTAATTTTTTGTTCGGAACCCTGATTTGTTTTCTAAAATAAAAGTAGCCTGAGTTACTCCTTATAACATCAGCTGTCTTCCAGTGAAAGTTCCATCAAAATCAGTCCAGCCGTTTCGGAGATTAGCCGGAACAATTTCGAAATAAATTTGATTCCTTTATATCTGTTGGTAATTTATTTTATAACTGTGCTCCTTCAAACATCAGACTACTTTTTACCTCATGAAAATATCTCATTTCTGAGAAAAAACACAAAACTTGCAATGTAAGAGTATACTAATATGTAAAACCTAAGAATTTGGTTTTTGGTAATCTGAACGCGGGCGGAGCCGCGGGCAATGCTAGTTATGATATAAAATTGTTAGAGCAGTTTCCGAGATACGCGAAATAAAATCGTTTAAAAGAATTGCTCATTTAATATTATAATTAACATTATATTAAATGAAAAATTTCAATTAAAAAAAAAATCCATCCAATGTTAAATCTTCGTCTGACCTAAAAACAGTACAGTGAAAATATCCTAAAATTATTATAAAGTAAAATGGTAGCAGTTCAAAACCAGGTTACAAAATGATCCAATGTACTCTATTACAAAGTAAACGCATTTTAATATTAAAACGTACGTTTTGGGAATGCGCCAACTTATTTCTGAAACTGGAACAATTTTTCGAAATAATTGGTGATTTTTTTTTAGCATTTCAGTGGTTGTTCGTGTATTTTCCAACATTTGAAAAAATATCGGTTTTAAATATTAACAAATAGCATGAAAAACTCACATACAATTGGACATTTAAGCAAATATTTTTAGTAATATTATTTAGTCCATATGTCCGATATCACAGTGAAAGAGTCGCGGTGATCTTTCACAATTCATACTAAAAATAAACGAACACTGCTATACATAGACGATCGTAATAACGCAGTGGTGTATCTGACTGCTCTGCCTACAACACTAGAGGTAGCAGGTTTGAATTCTACATGAGGAAATAGTATTTTAAAAGTTCGAGTTTTAACAAACGTAATTTAATTACAGATGTCACATCAAGAATAGCACTTAATTTTTTTTACCGTTATTTCAACTATAATATCAGCATACAAAATTAATTATTTTCGAATTCCAAACTTTAAAAACCATTTTTCCACCTAAAGAGTAGATTTTTTTTAAATAGAACGATCCTTGAAGTGACAGACAAAAAACATATTTCCGAACTGACATTGCCCGCTGCTCCGCGCGCGTTCATATGACCAAAAACCAAATTCTTAGGTTTTACATATTAATAAACTCTTACATTGCAGTTTTTGTATTTTTTCTCAGAAATAAAATATTTTCCCAGGGTAAAGAGTATCCTATATGTTGACCCGGATAACCATCTATCATCATACCAAATTTCATCAAATCCCTTCAGTGGTTTTTCCGTGATGCGGTAACAGACAGACAGACAAAAATTCTAAAAACTACAGATTCGGCCTCTGTATCGACAATAATGTCTATTTCAATAAAATTTTCCAAACAATATTTGATGTACAGATTCGGCTTAGCTACAATTTTATTATATGTATAGATTATGTACGTACCTCCTTCTTTATTAAAGTAGACAAAACATGTGTTTTCTATATAGGTAAGTAAGAACTGTTTCTTATACTATTTTATTCGAAATTAATACTAAGTATAGTAATTCAACTGATATCTAACATTTATTACACTACTTCGATATCCTTATGATTAATTTACGATGGTGATGCTTAAATACTAAATTATCCATATTAACGTCACAGGATACATGGCAGTGATTTAATACTGATTCTATTGGGTAAAATCAGAACAACATGCATTTACGAAGTACTACGAAATTATGTATGTTGGCAAACAAATATGTAATTATATGAAGAATCTATTGCCACATGTGCACTTTAATTATATTAATATAATTGATTGATACAAAGTACAGCAAAGTTTATAATTAAGGAGTAGTAGCCCACTTGTCCTTTGTTTGCCTTATAAATGTTCGAAAAGATAATAGATTTATTATACAATGTCACATTAAATAACGTTTTTTAAAAGAGGATCAAAAGCTTCAGTCTGGACCTACAACTTCGAGAAGAATAAATCAACTGTCAAAGTCATTTAAGTCACATCAAAATTCGTGAAGTATATACAACTAAAAACGAAACAAAACATCATGTGAGCCAAAAGTAGTATGAATAGTGTAAGAGGTTTCCTGTTGGTGATGTTGAGAAGTGCGTTCATCGTTGCTTTCCTCAGCATCCCAGATCGGGTTGCCGCCTTCACTGGAATCAAAGGCTGGTCCAGGAAGGTGCTGTACAATAAGATCGACCTCTGCACTCAGTCTTGCTATAGTCAGATTATTCCGGGACTTTACTTAAGCAATGCAAAGGCAGCTTGCGACCGAAATGTACTCCGGCATCTTAACATCACCCATGTGCTCACAATTGAGACGCGCAGGTTGCCAAAATCAACTTTTATTGACAGCAACATTAGTACCCTCTACATTAGGGCCAACGACACTCCTCAAACCAATCTCCTGCCCTACTTCCCAATGGCCAACGCCTTCATCGAGGAGGGCTTGCAGAAGGGGAATGTGCTCGTCCACTGTCACTTTGGAGTTTCCAGATCCGCCACCCTGGTCATTGCATTCATCATGGAGAAATATAAACTGACGTTCGAGCAAGCGTACAACTTTGTACGACAAAGGAGAAGTTTTATCAATCCTAACCCTGGGTTTGTAAACCAGTTGAAGCAGTATCATCAAATGAATTACGATGTAAGCGGGTTTCAGAGATTCGAAGCGTACATGAATGTAAATGCAAGGAAACATAAATATACAATAGCATCCTTAGCGGCTGTATTGGTTGGGGTGATAGTTCCAATCGTCGTTTTAGTCGTGTAACTATTTCAAGTTTCAACAAATGACTTTTGTATGCCTCATAGACTAATTGTAAAAATAGTAAAACATATGTAAATCATGAATAAAATATTTTTAGTTTAAAATATAATTTTTTAATATTATAAAAGATATTTTTTATTAAATAAAATAATAACGAAGCACATTTTAAAGTGCTAAAAATAGAATACCTATTTTGAGTGTTCTCAATCTGTTTCAAATAATTTAGCGACTTTGCCAAGCAAACAATTCCGTTAACTTTTATTATTTTAAATGTTGATGAGCTTATTTATATTTGAATATATATTTAAAAGTGCTGCATAGTTTTTATGGTAATTTTCTAAACGAAACAGTTGTACTAGCAGTTACTCCCGATTCTGCGCGAAAGTTACTTCACAGATGTTTTTATATCTATATTTTTAAAGCGATTAGGAGAAAAGAAATAAGTATATAATCCTACTGTACATTAATACTGTCATACTAAAAAAATCTAAAATTTATAGTATCTTAATTCAACTAAAGATCTCAAATCACTCGTGAAATCACAACACCCACTGATACCGCGAAAATTATAAATATTCTTCACCTCAACACGATATTCAAAACTGCTTAAAACTATATTAAAATTTACTTTTTCATAGCAAAGTATTTCATGTAAAATATTTTAACGCACAAATTATCATAAACGAGATCAAACTATCAGTATATAATCATTTAAGATTACATAAACGATATCTTATTTATACCGCAATGACATTATACAGAAAATCTCAAGTCGTCTGTTTGTAATGTCGAAATAAAAGCTTTTTATTAAATGCATATGAAATTACGGTACTTATTAGAACAACAATTTTTAAAATTTTTGTCTGTGTGTTTGTTCCGACTAATCTCTGAAACGGCTGGATTGATTTTGATGGGACTTTCACTGACAGATAGCTGTTGTTATAAGGACTAACTTAGGCTATTTTTGTTTTAGAAAAAGAATTAGGGTTCCGCTTGAAAAAATTAAAACATAACTAGGGACCCACCCGAGCGAAGCGGGGATAAATCGCTAGTCCTTATATCCAAATAGCAGTAATATATCAAGTTTATGCGCATTATTCATAATTAATCAAATGGTTCGCATTAAATCTTGGATGCACCTGATTCCTATCCAAAAAGCTGTATGACATTTACACCAACGAATTATTGAGTGAACTATAATCTTATCGTTTCATGAGAGAACCTAATGCATGGAGTTTTATCTTAAATTTAGTTATGTTTAATCTTTGTGCGTAAAGTTGGAGTATATTGTGCAAAAATGTATAAAAACAAAACAAAGTAATTAAAAATACATTAAATTTAAGGCACTGCCTAAAATTCATAAATTTCCCAAATTTCGAATGAAATAGAGGACAAAGGCAAGTTTAAGAATCCCACCTAGAGTCTACCACTATATCTGTATATTATAAAAATTGTATAATATATAACATATTGTAAAAACTATATTTGTATATTATAAGAATTGTAATCTTATATATAAAATTTCCATGTCACAATGTTTCTTACCGTACTCATCCGAAACGGCTTTACCGATTTTTACCAAATTTTATATGCGTATTCAGTAGGTCTGAGAATCGGCTACTATCTATTTTTCATACCGCTAAGTGATAAGGATAAGGGTGGTCCTCCCAGACCCCACCCCAGGGACGAACCCAAGCGGAGCGAGGGTGAGTCGCTAGTATTACATAATATTGCTATAAAAAGACAACTCTACCATACCACCTTCTCTCATAGGTAGAGACTAGATTTATGAAGTGCATTACCTTCTGTTACTCTCCTTATCTGTAATGTAATAGAACTAAACTTCTTAAAAGCTTGGCGTAAATTAAGCAACATTTACTCAGCATTTACTGTTTTTATTGTTATGGGTATGGAATCCAATTCTTCGGTGTAATTGAGTAACCTAATCCAATAAACATAAGGATCTAATAAAAAAGCCACTTACATATCATTAAAGCTTATTTTTAATCTATAGTCCTTCCAGTTAAAAATGATGTGGGTACAGCATCATATAATTTACTGTATACATAAATGTAGACTGTGGATGTGATAGTTGGATCGATTTACGCTTGAAGAGAATTCTCAAGTTACAAACCAAAGCTTCTTTATATATTTTTTGACAAATTCTAGCTTAAAATACATACATGTAAATCTCGATTATGAAATCGATTACTCTTATATTTTCAATTATATGAAATTTGTTGCGCACTTGTATGCTATAATTTCTGGTATCTTTACGGGAATATTTTAGGCTTAAATACTTAAGTGTACAATAAAAATGAAACTTATAAATAAAATCTAAAATAAATTTGTGGTTTCTGTGACCTTTCGTGATCATTGTAATATTATATAGTATTACAAGTATTGGTACCCCGGTGGTAACGTGTTCGCTTCACAAACCAAGTGTAGTGGGGTCAAATAGCGGGAGTCTTGCACATCTGATATTATTTTGTGCAAATCATTCACAAGAAGATTATCTCTTGCCTTAAGGTGAAGGAAAACATAGTGGAAAACTTTGCATATCTAACAGAACCTAACTAGTTTCCAAAAAACCACCATCCAGTGTAACCACTATAGTCTTACCCCACTTGTACTGAAGGTTAACAAATAACTGTATATCATTGTATTACAATCATTACGATTCACTGTATTATTCAAAGCCAAAATGTTAATAAAGTCTATGCAAAGAGATCGTGCTATTTGAACATGAAATAGGTACTTTGAATTAATTATCGCTGTGAACAAATCTTGATGTTTATTATGAATAATACTTTTTTTTAAAAACAAAATTGCCATGGAAATACAATTTGTAGCATTCTGTGATATAAGAGGACGTAATCAGTACTTAATCTATAACACCTGCATTAATCTGAAACCAGAAAAGAATAAATATTTTAAATAACAATGTGCAATATGTAAAGTCTTGGAACACTCATATTTTTATATGCCTGGTGGCTGTGGTGACATGTTATTTGACAGCCAAATCATTAACTATGAACGCATTAGATAATTTGTATGTTTCATTTGAATTTTCATGTTTTTCCTTTGAAATTACTATGACGATGCTGCCAAGAACAATCCTCCAAATTTTAACGACACAAGTATATTTTATTCGAAAGTGTGTATTATTATTTCCGCCCAGCTGTTAGAATCCTATGTTAAATTTTGTTGTTATATGTATTTGTATCGTACATATCTTTGTTGTTCGTCGGCTATTAATCGAAATGGTATTTTGGTCTACCTAAATTTAAATCAGAGGTTACTACTCACAGGTGCTCTGAGTTACTTATAACGAAATACGGGCATGAGACGTCGTAAACAATGCAATATAATGTTTGATTCAATTAGAATATCTTCATTGATACGTGCATAGATTTAAAGAAATATATTACAGATATATCTGTCTCTAAACGTAGCCAAGCGGAACTCAAAAAATTTTATGTTGCCCTTGTATGGATTATTAACATATATTATTTTTAGAACGCTTTTTTATAAAAGCGTTCAAGATTCATAATAAATTTCATTAAAATCTGTCAAGTGGTTTTCTCGTGATGCGTTCCCAAACAAACAGACAGAGAAACATTCTAAAAACTATAGATTCGACCTCTGTATCGTTAATAATGAGTTAATAATATTTCAATAAGATTTTCAAATTATATTATATATTTATTATAATATAATTATAGTATTTAATGTACAGATTTGACTCAGAACATCATACATACGATACATAAAATAAAATCTTCCTAAATTGCCAATAAAAAAATTATACTAGCTTCTGTAACATATAAGTACCACCTAACTTTCGCATTAATAATAGTTGCATGGTATATTTTATTGGATGCAATTAATTTATTCTAAGGCTCGTATAAAAAAAACAAATTACCCGACATCATTTACTATTTTATCGCACCTTTAACGTTTTAAATGCGTTCTCAGATTGATGTTTAGTGTTCTGGACTGAGGTCATGTTAAATAATGCACGCAGAGTCAGTCAGCGCTTTTAAACCTTAGTCATAGATATTTAAAGTATATTTACGTATTTGCATCGTTTACGTAGGAACTAGGCTGCAGAAAACTATAATGGCCACTTGTACCAAAGTTATCCTACATACCTAAGTTTAGCAAATATCAAATTGTGATGTTTAAGGTTTATTAAATATATTATTTTTTCTACTTTCAGAAATGCATTTACCACCTGCCATACCACCTGCATAAATATGGGTGGTTTTGTCAATACTTAGCAAATCTAAAGGAACTTTTCCGCCTTTATGTGCCATCGTATGATCAATTACGCACTCTATCCAATGGCTGGTCTACAAACTTCTGGTTTTTTAACCCCTGACGCAAAAAGATGGGCCGATTTCGATGCAGTTTTTTTTTAATTTGAAAGTCAGTTTCCTTGCGGTAGTTCTTAGCTATGTTTGGTTAATATCGGTTCAGCAATGTAAGAGTATCAGCACTTTTCCTAAATGATGGAAGGCATTTTGGCGTATGATTACTCGCTTAAGTGCTTCCCGCGTGCCAGTGTAATCGTTAAATGACAATTAATTTGCGTAGGGTTTTTTTTTAATCTTTTAGTTTATGTGATATCAGAGAAGTACCACAAGTAACCCATATGATACGCTTCCTAAGTCCACAGAGGTGTGCCGCCTCCCAAATGCATTTCAAGACTTTAAGCAAGGCTCGCATTTATTACATTAGTGCGATTTATTTACAAAATAATTTCAAATAGATTACAGAAAGTCTTGGGCGACTTTTAAAAGTTTTCTAGGTAACATAGATGACATACCTACTACCTACCTAAGGTTTGAAGGTAACTGGTACTGACTAACTCTCTCTTGTCTGTATTGTAAGGTAATTTTTGCAATTTTCATTTTGTTAATTGTGGATAGGCTGTCTGTAACAACAAAACCTTCAAGACATGTAACACCTCAGTCCGTGACCATGGATGCTGGAAAGCAAAGAAACGTCGAGAACCAAAAATCAAAATAAATCCGCGAAATAATCCGAAAATATAGGTAGTTTTATTTAGAATGTCAAATATTCGCGTAAATCTAAGAAAGTATTAAATAATATTTTGTAAAATATAATACATTATTATTGTTTGCTTTCATAAGAAATTATTTAAACTTACTGGCAACAAATAATTTGACGCTGGAAGGAACGACTACCTACCAAAATATCCTAAAATAATTTATACAAAATATATTTAAAAGCTCTCAAATTTCTAAGCATCAGTTCCAATTAAATAACAAATTTAAATAATTACAATATACTTTAAATAGTCCAGAAAAGTAAACAATATTTCTTATTTTATAAACAATATGTTAAATCAGTAATCATTCCGTGGATTTGGCACCAACACGATTTTTTTACAGTATCCGGGAAATGTAGCATGCTATAATATAGATGTGAGCAGAGACTGTTTGAAATCTTTGAAATCTTTAGTTAATTTTATAAGAATGTTTATTTTTTACCAATCACTTATTATTTATCGTAAAAGATACATACGTTTGTTATAAATAAAATAATAGAATGTCGACAAAGGATAACTTATCTCTCTCTATCAAGAGATTTCTTCCAGAAACCCTTCAGAAGTAAGAAAATAAATTTATGTATATATTAGTCGTATTCTATATTACAATAAGTTGAATTTTTAGTTATTCCTTCATTAACTAACTCAGTACTGATGGGAGAAGTATTTGCCAGTAAAAAATATTCAACACTTCGTCCTAACCAAATTAGGGCAAATATCGATATTAAGTCTATTTTCTTTTTATTAACTTTTAATTTTAATCAAAATGTTTTCTTAATAGTTACTTATTTATTTTCCTTTATTGTGTGTACCGTTTCAGAAAAACTTTAATTTTTATTTGAACTTCGCCTTCTCTCATATTTTACATGTATACAATTTTTTTAAATAATATTTTAATATATTAGCGCTAGAGCCGAAACTATAGTTTATAATATATTAACTAGGTATCTGTTATATAAAAACATCTAGTTTTAAATATTCCTTTACAGATATGCGATTAAATTTCAGATTTGAAAAACTTAATTTCTAAAACATATATAAGTAAAATCCACTTTCATTATTTTATCCCATCGTCAAATTTTTCGCCAAGCGCATGCAGATTCCGTTTTTCGTAAGCAGTTTTATTGATAGCGTCTGCTGGCAACATATTCCAAAATAATTGTCTATTTTTGTGAAGCCGACGTAACTGTGTGGAATGTACACGACAAGAGGCGTTATTTCTGTTATATAAGATTGAAGTGCTAAAATTTTGACCGCTTAAAAATATTTGTTTGTTTGTCTGTTTTCAATAAATGAATGATAAATATAACAATGTTATTTAATCCCTCCACGACCGCGGACACGCTGGCGTGTCAGTTAACAATAGATTTCTTAGCATTTTAATTAACTTCTTAGAAATTTACCTGGAGGTGGTAAAGCAAAATTAAAAACGATATCCAGTAATGAAAATATCTAATCTTCTTAATATTTCAAATTTTTTATTCTTAAGAATATGAAAATGGTGGCAGAGGTAACATATCACATAATATGTATAATTCTATATCTACCATGCATGAAATATATCAGTTTTTCCTAAATCCTTAACTTTTATATCAAAGACAGCATAAAAAATTAAACAAAAATTAAAAACTTTTACATTATTCAATGCAAATAAACATACCTATTTTATATACATATTTCAAATTACAAGTAGGTAGGTACTTTAATTTATGTTTAAGATATTATAGACCTAATCAGACATTCAAAGGTTCTCGTTGCCCTTAATTCTTGCACGTAATTTGGGAAAAATATTGTGCAACCTGTACCAACGTTATTTTTTTTTTTTTTTTTTTATGGGACTAAGGGGGCAAACGGGCAGGAGGCTCACCTGATGGAAAGCGATCACCGCCGCCCATGGACATCTGCGACACCGCAGGGCTTGCAGATGCGTTGCCGGCCTTTAAGGAAAGTGTACGCTCTCTTCTTGAAGGTGGCCAGGTCGTAGCGGTTCGGAAAGACCGCCGGCGATAGCTGGTTCCACAGAGTGGTTGTGCGAGGCAGAAAATGCCTTAAAAATCGCACTGTGGTGGAACGCTGGACATCGAGGTGGTGTGGATGGAATTTACTATTTTGGCGCGATGTCCGATGATGAAATTCAGCAGCCGGGATCAGTCCGAACAATTCCTCGGAACACTCCCCATGATAAATGCGGTAGAAGATGCAGAGTGATCCAACATCTCTACGCAGAGCTAAAGGATCAAGCCGATCGGAGAGAGCTTGATCGTCGATAACTCGAGCCGCCCTACGTTGAATGCGGTCAAATGGAAGTAGCTGGTATTGGGGAGCTCCCGCCCAAAGATGAGAACAGTACTCCATGTGGGGCCGAATTTGCGCCTTATAAAGAATAAGACGCTGACGCGACGTGAAGTACTATTTATAACATTAATAACTGATGCCGTAAAATCAAAAATCAAAAAGTGCGAGTCAGATCGTACATCGAGGGTAACTTGCAACTAATGAAATTTTCTGGGTTATAACGGAATTACTATATTCACATTCAATTTATGTCATAAGTCGAAAATTACCTTGACATATCATCTTATGCAAAATAATTTTAAAGTTATATTAAGATTATATTTCCCAAAAATATACCATGATATGTATTTTTAAATTAAATTTTACGTAGCGTTTAGAATTTTAGAAAAGCGACTATCTGCGTATATTGTCTTAAGTAGAAACACCTATAAATTTTAAATGTCAAGCATGCATGAGTGCATGAATCTTTTACTGACCCTTCAATAACCTACACGCATATAGTGTCACCAATATTTTTCCCGTAACTCAACTAACGTAAAAGCATTGTCTAGCGGCTAGCTATTAGCAAAAGACCTTTCAAGTTTGAGCTACAAATAATTCTTCTTTCTTGCTTCTTTATAGTTCCCGAAGAATAGCTGGGGTATACTGGTCTTAAGTCACAGGCATTTTACTTTTAAGATGGCTATGATAAATCTATTTTTCCATTTTGGCTATGGAACCCTAAAACCATATTTATGTTAAAGTTTTAAGTTTATCGTTTTTGTATAACATTCTATTTTATTAGACTTCTATGAATATTTATCTCGTTTCACGTTATAGATGGAGACCCAAATAAATAATTAAAGAAAAACTCAAATATATCATAAGAAATTTATTCAATAATTTCGTTAAAATTAATGTTTAAAATAAAAAAATGTTTACAAAAGTTTTTTTTACAAACAATAATTTATTACAAAATACAGTACTTTTGTTCTATTACACTTTATTTGTGCGTTGATCATATTTTAAATAGAAATAACAATACTTAGATCTAGTAATCTCATATAAAATATTAAACTAGGATATTCGTTGTCTTCGAAACATTGCTCTTATTGCCATCATACAAACTAACAAACCTTACAAAATAGTCGTTAGCATTATTTACTACATTTTAACATTTGTAAAAATTCTAGAAAAAACTCTTCTACTTTGTACAATTAACTTTAATTAATAATCTCAGTTAAAACTTACAGTATTTATAAAAAAAATTGTAAAATAACTATCTTTACTATAATGTATTTACTAAAAAAGGCACCTGCGAAATATCAATAAGGAATCAAGGCACTTCTAAAATTCATTGTTCTATGTACAAATATTATACATAAAAGGCACTGTTCTAAACAATCTTTATAAGTGCAATATTGTATTTAAATGGAAGACATCTTGAATTAATAATAATACATTATTTACAACAAAAAATCCCATAAAGTGTCCGTGTCTTTTACTATTTCATACCTAAGATAGATTTTATAGCTAAATAGGATAACTTTATCAACAGTTATATTAACCAGTAGAAAAAATATTTCTTAAGGCTCATATCAAAGTACTTTAACAAAGTTTATATATATACATATATATGTATTATTCAAATGTCATTATGACAACGATTGATAAAAATAGAATGCTCTCAAAAAACAAAATGATACGGAAGGAGGATATGATAACTTAATTCAAAAATGTTTTTAAATCATCTAAATTCTAAACTGTTGTATATAGATTAATATTTAAGAAAAGTGTGTTTAGTGTATAGTAGCATTAAAAGTTAAATTTAGAATTTATCATTAGTCAGTCTCTTGAGTAAAGTCACCTATTGCTGCACGGTTTTTTTATACTTATAAATAATCTCTAAAGTAATTTAAATTGACGTAACTATTGTATCATTTGCAAATATTGGTTTTCTTCATAAAACGAAGATAAGGAAGTTTGGAGATCGTTCACAACCATGTTGTCTCCGCCTTGGAGAGGATGTGTGCTGCTGGAAACCATCTCTGAACTCTTCCAGTTTTCACAGTTCTCTACATATTCCAACGTCCTCTGGTAGGTTTCTTGCCGCATTGTGTTCTGGTTCTTCTTTCTTCCATTCGTAGCCTCTATTTGAGATTGGGATATATCCCATACTTGAACATCCGCTTGGTTATTTTGACTCCTCAAACTGTTCATGCTACAGTCAGTCTGTTGTTCCCCTGCATTTTTCATAATTTGATTACAATTTATTGACATTCTTGTGCCATTAGGTTTTTGACTGCCAGTAGACATGTTTACGGAGTTCTGGACTGATTTCTGCATATTATGTTTATTGAATTGGTTTCCTGGATAGTCCCACTGGTTGTAAGAACGTTGTTGATTATAATATTGGTTATTGTTCATCATGGCTTGATTATATTGGTGATTATTCTTCGGTGGTGGCGGTCCCATTACGTTAGATACATTTGCTACGGAGTTATACGGAGGGGATTGAGGATATTGTATATTTTGGTTATATGGTGCATTTTGAACTGGAGGTTGACAAGTGTTTTGTTGTTCACAATAACTGTTTAGCGCACCACGATTCATATTGCCACTATTATCAACACTCATCATAGAAGATCTAGACATTTGCATTGGATGCATCTGATTGCTTTGGTTCGTATAATTCACAGGCTGTGGCACGTAATTCATCTGGTTGTTATATACCATATTCTGATGATTCGCTGGCATCATTGAAATTTGCAGCTGATTTTGATTGAAATGCGACATCATAGGATATTGCTGCATATTTTGATTTCTCATATTAAAGTTTTGGTTTTGCGTTGAGTAAGGCGGTGCTTGATTATAGTTTTGGTTTTGGTATTGATTAGGAACATTATTATAGTTTTTATTAGGTATTTTATTGTTACAGTTTTGACGGTTATTATATGGTGAGGCTGCCAGTGCAGGTGGATTCATCATCATATTATTCTGATTCTGAACTGGTTGAACATTCATAGTCATGTTCGTCATATTTTGCACCATAGGACTCGTAACAGGACTTTGTAATCCAGGATGCATTGGGCTAGCCATTCCATGGCTCATTGGACTAGCGATATTTTGAGCCATAGGGCTTGCCATATTCATCATGGGACTAGCAATGTTTTGAGACATCGGGCTTCCAATATTATTGTGACGGGGACTCATAATTATTTGGTTAGGCATTTGAGGACTCGTTAAACTTTGCATACTTTGTGGACTCATAGCGTTGTGCTGTGGTGACATAACACTCATGACACTTTGTGGACTCATGACGTAATATACACTAGGGGGACTCATAATGCCATGTGGCATATGCTGCGGACTCCTAACACTTTGAGGACTCATAGAACTATGTGGAAGACTCTGAGGACTTAGCATACTATGCGCTAAATTTGGACTCATAACTGTTTGTGGGGTCATTACAACAGTTTTAGGGCTCATGGCGGGCTTTTGAGGTAGTGGATTATTGATTCTCATTCTATTAGATTGTTCAGTTTGATTAGCAGCCATAGTTTGTAATGACTGCAACGGATTATTTGTAGAAACATTACTCGTAGGAGGTTTTGCATATTCTTGTTCGCATTTTTCTATTGCAACTTCGGGAATCACTTGTTCTTGTAGAGGAGGACACTTCTCATTGGGGGACTTAGCAACTAAAAGAGAGCCACTGTTACCGGACATACTAACGTCTAATGACCTTAAATCGACTTGGATATCACTTATATTGAGATCACTACCTATGGCACCTAGATTTTTAAGAAGAGAGTCATCACTAGTGGCGACATCACTGATTTTATCACTGGAATTGTTCGTGTTTTGAATATCATTGTTTATAATGTCTTTGGTTGTGTTGTCATTCTCGTTGCTTTTTCCTTCAGGTTCGGGATTGGCGGAATCAGTTTTGGCTGGTGCTACCGGATCAGTTCCCAATATTGATTGGTTAAGATATTGCATCATTTCATCTGGTATCACCAGCTTGTTCTCCACCATTTCTCCCTCAGCAACCTTAAATGTAAAATCACATTTTATTATAAAATTCAACCTAGAAATTGACAATAAGATCTAATTTTTGTATTTATTATGTTCAATAAAGTACCTGTTCAAGGTTGACTTCCTGATTTGGATGGTGAACTTGAGCCGTAGTGATGACCACAGTATTTGTGGAGTTTGAACGAGACTCCTTATAGTTCACCTCATGATCATCTTCAGTTTTAAATGGGAATGGAGCATCACCCTGAAAATTAATAGTTTTATTATTAATACTATAATAAAAAAAATCTATTAACATAAGCCAAATTATTATAATATAATGTATCTAAATTTAATCATCATACTGCACATTTGCTTTCATTGTAAAAAAATAAAATTAAACAATTCTCTTACCACATCATCATTATTGCAAGGGTAAGGTTGATAGCCTTGGGCTTGATCACTGAGATTAGACTGCTCTGATAATCTTCTAGCTTCTTCTTTTATTTGAACATTTGGATCAAGCTCTAAGGCTAACTCTTCTGCTCTCACTTCTGAGCAGGTGACACCACGAAGAAGTACAGCCTTAAAGTAAGAAAATCAAGTTTTATAATAATCGCACTAATAATGAATACGAAAGTGTGTATATGTTTATGTTTCTTTTATATTATATATTTTTTATGCCTTCACGCATGCATAAAAATATAGTAGGTATATAAATTTTGACCTTTAGGTATTAAAAACTTAGAAACGCACCCGAGTAAAGCGATTATAAGTCGCTAGTATACAATTTTACTAACTTAGGTATTACAAGGATATAAAGGTTAATTGGTTTATTAAGATGAACTAAATTGTTTAAAATTCGCTCTAAAAATGCTACTTAATTAATACCTGGTTGCCTTGTGAGGTCCTCACAGCCTGGACAGCTGCTAAAGCTGAAGAAGGCGGTGGCGCATACCCAACGCATGACACTTGACTAGATCTATAAAAAACGAATCTATAAGAAACGATCTATAAGAAACTTTATATATTAAATACCCACACCTTAATATTTTAATGTCACTACAATCGATATGTAAATAAGAAAACAGATTAGTATATAATATAAGCTCAATTTTTTTTACATGATAATATAAATAAGATAAGAACATATTATGTTACCTTCGACTACTATCAGGAGATAACTGATCGTACACGTTGGTGTGCTGTGATATTAGTCTCTGCGGCCCGGCGACGCCTGTAGTTGTTGCCACCGCGCCTGATACTACTGATGCTTGACTGCTTTTACGAGAAATATCTGAAGATCTAAAGAAAACATACCATTTTCAATTAATTTACTATACATTGATAAACTTAAACAATAAGAACATTTAACTGTAAGAATATTAGCGTAGAAGCTAAAAAATTAACTATTAATAATTCTACAAATTAAAAAGGGATGGATAGTAATTAAAAAAGTAACTTCAGAAAATTCATTGAATACATTATATTTTTAAATATACTCTTTTAATAAAAAAATATATTAATAATAATATATCTTTAATAGGATTGAAATATACCTTGCACTATATAAGCTGCTGCCAGATGAAATGCCAGAATCTCGCCTCGCGTTCGAGGGCCCAGACTTTAACTCCACCGTAACGTTTGTACCACCAAGTTCTGTTCTACCTGGCATTACACCTACAAATAAAATAAATTAAATAGCGTTCATTTTATAATACTAACTTTGAATTTTTAAAACATTTTTTTTTCATGTCACGCTTTAAAATTGTAATATTCAGCCTTTTGTAGCATTCTACTGATGGGCACGGGCCTCTCTTCAATACGAGGAGGATCAGGCTATAGTCCACCACGCTGGCCAAGTGCGGTTTGGCGGACTTTAGATGTCTTTCGAAAACTCACAAGGTTTTCTCAGACATATAGGTTTCCTCCCGAGGTTTTCCTTCACCGTAAGGCAAGTGGTAATCATGTGAGAAATTATTCGTATATGAAAATATCAGAGGTGCGAGACCCAGGATTTGAATCCGCTTCACTCAGTTTCCCAACCTAGCGCATTACCACTAGGCTACCACTGCCTAAAAAATTGTAATGATCGTCCATAATCAGTATTTGTTATATTTATCTATTTAAAATTTCAATGAAAATATATTCCAAACTCAATGATCATAATTAATTCAAATAAGAATAAGATTATTTTTATTTTTAAATATTTCCGAAAAAATAAGAATCGAAAGTAACTTTTAAGCCAACACTTACCTCCTATATCAGCACCATGTATCGGCGGCATCAATCTTCCTACACCCATCTTGTTACCAAAGCGGGGCGCGTGGTGGTGGGCTCTGGGCTCTCCTATAGCTACCATTGCTCGCAACATTAGAGGAAGTTGACCTACTTCACCCACTACTTCTTGTTCAACCTAAAAAAATGTAAATTAAATAAAAAAAATATTAATTTTACAGCTCACAAGAATACGGTGAGTGATCAGACGCAGGACTGACAGTTTTACGGTTTTTCCCCACTTTGGGCTATTATTGGAATTTTGACAAAAAAAAACAATAATTATACTTAACCTAACCGAGAACTGAACTGATCTTCGGATCTACACCCGCTTGCTAACCACTAGACCAAAGATGTAGTGACAAACATAGAGAGCAACATTATATATAATATTGTTACTTAATAGGTAATATATTAAACAAAAACTTTTAAATACTCTACATACAAACAAATACGTAATATTTACCTCGCCATCGAGCCTAAAGTAAGGAGCGCCATTTTCATCGCTGAAGCCACCAAGGCCTGAGCCGCCGAAATCCAAATCCCCACCACATTGCGCTGAAAGCTGTTAAGAAAATAACCTTATTTTTATATATCCTACTAATGTTATTAATAGCTTTTTTTTAAACTATGTCAAAATATTACTATGCTACTACTACTTTCATATAAGCTATTAAAAGGAGTATTTAATCAATATAAAAAAAATCTTAGAGCTCGGCAGCTACAAAACAGTTTTCAACTAACGTAGCCTTTATCGTACAGTATTTATATACTTACTTACTTTTCAATTTTTGCTAATAAATATTGTTATACTTATAACTATATTTGATTTATTAATATTTATAATACCTTTTTTGGATAAATATGTTGTATAAGTTATAAATTACTAACATAACCAAACAGCAGACGTGCGAAACGATATTTTTTATACTATTTTTTTTGTTGCACTTGCGTACAACACAATATTTTTTACAAATAGTAAAAATGTACTATACATGATGACATTCATACCTGATGAGCAGGAGTATGAAGACCATGGGGTAATGGAGAAGCAGGACTCTCGCTCTTGACTGATGCTGAGGATGTATGACCTCTAACTCCAATAGGTACTCCTCCTTCTTCTGATCTGGGAGAAGATCCAGCACCTCCACCACCAGATTCTGCTGAATCGTCTCCTCGACTACAACCTGGGAGGATAATTAAATAATAACATTAAGTGTCAATTTATAATAAATACAATTAAAAAGAAGTATAGACTATACTATTAATGGTTTTGATAAGTTAACAATGTTTATTTTATCTTGATTTATAAAATATATTTTCCTGCATACACGCTTTCTTATTTATGATTCATGAATTACATTAACTATTGTAATAAAAATAAAATCCTACTAATATTATAAATGTGAAATTTAGATGTTTGGATGAATGTTTGTGTTTGTTCAGAACGGCTGAACGGATCTGGATGAAAGGCACAGAGATAGATTATAGTCTGGAAAAACACATTTTTTTTGGTTGGTTACTTTTTATTTCAGAAAAATGTACGGTTTTTGTTTTTTAGTAAATAATAAAAAAAAGTTTCGAAACTCACCCTTATGTTTCTTACTAGCGTAGAACTCAGCCCCATGGACTGTTTTAACATGCTTTCTAAGGGACGACGGGTCAGTATATCGCTTCGTACATCCCGGAGCTTTGCACACATATGGTTTCTGAAAGAAGTAATGTGCAATCATAATCCCATTTTAATTACTCAAAAATAGCTTTTTAATAATATATTGTGTAGCTAAATCCATGATTTGAGCAAAAAAGCTTAAGTGAAGAATGAATATTTTTGTAAAGTTTCTTCACCTAATAACTATTTGTAGTAGGCAGTGGTATCAACATCTGATCTTTGAATTTTCTGTATGTAATGGATGAGATTAGTAATGTATCACGTACCACGTTTGAGAAACATGATATTTCTCAATCTTATACATACAATAAGATGTATATAAGACGTACAAGGTGTACCCATACAATGTATGTGATCAAAACCAAACTCTATGTGTGATAACTGATCTTGGTATCCAACGACTACCAAGGTATACAACTTGTAAATTTATGGTTAATGTATATTAACTATGAACGAACAGGTTAGTTATAACAATCGTTTTGTTTATATTGCACAAAAAAAATATACTTTACTTATTTCCTGTACAAAGATATAGATCTTTCGAACTTACCTCATTACTATGAGTTCTATTCTGATGCTTGGCTCTGTCACTTGCATTAGAAAAGGCTTTCGCACAGCCAGGATATTCACAAGTATACGGCTTCTCCCCAGTATGACTTCGTAAATGGGTCTTCAGGTTTTCTAATCTCGAATACGCTTTACAACAACCTTCAAACTGAAATATAAAAATAATTATTATTTCTTATTTGGTCACAACAAATTATTATATTCTTACTATATTCTTACTGTACTTAAATCAAAATTTCAAATTGACATTATTAAAAAAATAATTTACAAAAACTTAGTCTTGTTAAAGTGGACTTATCTCTAAGGGTCTATAGCTCTAAGGAAATAGATCATATATTTTAAATTCAATCAATCAATATTCAGCAAATTTCAAATTATGACTATAGTTTCTTTTTATTTCATATCAATATTTATTACATTCAAATAATACTTACGGTACATTTATGAGGTTTTTCCCCAGTATGCCTACGCATGTGTACCACCAACATGTATTGAGCTTTAAACGGCTTTTCATCTCTTGAACATCCTACCCAACGGCAAACAAACGCTTTTTTACTGGCGTGAATGTGGTCGGTGTTGATATGCTTCACCAAATCATCTTGTGTTGGGAATTCGAGTTTACAGTCAACCTGCAAAATAATATTATATTTCTTAGTTACTACATCTATACTAACATTATAAAGAGACAGAGTTTGTTTGTTTGAACGCGCTAATTTCAGGAACTACTAATCCGATTTGAAAAGTTCTTTTTGCATTAGATAGCCCCTTTTGAAGGAAGACTATAGGCTATATATCATCATGCTACTACGCAAGGGAGCGTAGCAGTAATCATAAATCTCAACAAATCGGGTAGACTTCCATACATTACTACTAATAGCATAAAGGCAGTTTTTTGTCGTTTTGGCGCGAGCGAAGCCGCGGGTTCTGCTAGTATCAATATATAGGTCTGATTTGATTTTTACGGTAACTTAATATGTAGAGAGCAGAGGAATTTATAAGAAAAATAATATGTTGACCGTCCTAAAGGAAAGCTTCTTATTTTCAAAATTGGATGCGGTCTTACATGTGACGATATTTGCGACCAGATAAAATTATATATGTATGTACACAATATACCTAATACAAATAAAACAAATTTCTGTACTTCTACGGGAAAGACATTGAAATTTAGCATAATTTAGCTTATTTCAAATGATAACGTACCCAATGGCAATTAGTTTCGATAAAATCTCCGGGTTCATCCTTAGAGTCTAAGCCGTCGTGTACTGTACTCTCTGCTGCTGCTGATAAGGGTTTGTTACTGTGCATGCTGTCCCGATGTGACAACCCTTGTGGGGACTTCCGTTGGGTAAGAACGTTTGATGCACTGTACGAGAATAAAACATGTAATAATTAAAAACCTACTTTTTATTGGAACGTTTTAATTTTAATAAGTAGAGAAAATTTGATTAAGTTGAATAAGAGATCAAAGAGAAGTCATGCTCAATTAACTTTTCTTGTTAATGGCTTCAATGCGTGACAGTTGAGCATAGATTACTACGCCAATGTCACGTAGAATGGAGAAGAAGTGAAGCAGATTGATGAAGAATCATATTATATTGACATATTATAGACTCTCCGAAATATTAAGACTTAATTAGCGGGATTTAAAGCGAAATTTGTCGCGGTTTGTACTAGGGATTAAAGGAGTGCGATTTCATTTACCATTATAATTTAATATACATTTTGTATATATTACATATTTTTTTATTGTTTATATTTTAATTTTCTTTTAGTTTTTCGAAAAGTAATTCAATTTTATATAATTTTATGTATAGTTTTACCTATCAGCTTCCATTACACTAGTGATTTCGGGTTGTTGTGGTGGCTGCTGCATGTGCTGAGGAGGTGTTCCATCCAGACCAAGTCCAGGTCTGACGTCCACTGGGGTCCCAATCAACAATTGTGTTGGTGACGAAATATGAGATCTGAAAAATATAAAGAAGTATTCCCTAAATATGTGGATGTTTATATAAAAAAAAGGTTTATTTTATTTTTCCACAATTACGTGAGTGGATTTTCACTTTGTCGATGATTAGGTGTACCTAATATCTTTAACCCTATATGTCTTTATAGGCTATGCCAATGTATAATAATCTCTCTCCTATATACATAGGATCTATTTACATAATATATAATAATATATAATTGCTTAGAAGCTTTGATTTCTTAAAAGTACCACTGGATTCTCTACTTAATTGTTAGAGTAATAAAACCCTGTAACTATAACACAACCATTTCCCATATACGGGAATCGAACCTACGATCATACACAATTAATACTACAAATAATGAGTCAGTTGTATTTTAATATATTTAAGTAATTATTTAAACATATCTAGATAATCCTTACCTATGAATACCAGCAACAAGATGCGCATGCGCAGCATGATGTGCAGCGGCGGCTGCTGCTTGTTGATGAGCTGGGTCGAGTAACACTCCACCAGGGAGTACTCCACTCCCACCCACCACTCCACCACGAGCCAGAAGTTGTTGGGCGAGTGACGCGTGGGATAGAGATAACGCGGGCGATATTGCTCCTAAAACATAATGGTATAAACATATTACAATACATAATATAGAGTTTAAAAGATATTACTGAGTGTGGAAAAAATTATGACGAATTAAAAGATAAATGTAGGGGAGACCTTTAGAAGTCAATCTTTACTACTTTAAAACTTTCATTAGCGCATAAGATGAGGGAAGAACTAAGTCAGATATTTAGAATTAGCAGGCGTAACACATTCATACTTACTAACAGCTTGAGAAAGTATCGCTGTCTGTCTGTTTGTTATGTTCTCGTTAATTAACCACTGAACGATAAAATTAAGCAAGGACATTTTATAATTAACTTTTTATCCCTACCACTCAGCTTTGAGCAAAAAACTATCGTTTCGTTATAAAATCGTTTAAAACTTTTAAACCATACCAGCACTAAGATGTCCATAGCTGCCAGTGGAAGCTGCTGATGGAGCCCTTACGGCCAAACTAGCCGGCGATGCTCTGATTACGGCTGCCAAATCTAAGGATTCAGCAGAATAAGGACTCCAGGAAACCGCTCTCTTTCTATTAGCAGAGGCGCCTATTGCACCTCCTGATAGCCTAAGTCGATTGGGAGACGCTATTCTTGAACCTGAAATGCCATTAAATACGCATTTACTTAAATATTTTCTTTAATAATAACATTTGAGACATTAATCGAAATATTGTGAAATAATCAAAATTCTTAGTAACTTATTCCAACAAAATTCGAAATGTAGAGATAGCTTTTCTGCATGTGAGTGAAGCCACAGGGAAATATTCGTTTTTTTTTATAAAAAAGCTACTGTAACTAAAACATTATCCTATATAGAACTAAAGTAAAGAGATTTAAATGAATCGTTTATCCTTAAAAAATGCTCAAGACCAGAAACACAAGAAAATAAACCTTAAATATAAAACAAATAGCATAAAATCAACTTATTATTATTTTGTTATTGATCATAAAGTTTTATAGTTTACGTACCTTCTAAACTTAATTGGAAGTCCTGACTTGCAAGCGTGCTCCCAGCGTGAAGCTCTGGATGGAGACTTCTCGCTGCACTTAAATATTCTAAGCCTGAAAATATTGAAATTAATCGAAATCATATATGTAATTCTAAAACTAAAACTATAATACTTTCTTAGATTTACGCGAATGTTTGACATTTTTAAATAAAACTATCTTTTCGGATTATTTCGCGGATTTATTTTGATTTTTGGTTCCCGACGTTTCGAATGCTTTACAGCATCCATGGTCACGGGAGAGACTGAGGTGTTACATGTCTTAAAGATATAGTTGTTACAGACAGCCTACCCACAATTAACAAAACATCTGCTGTCTGCAAACATAGCCAGGACCGCCCAAGCCATTATATTCGTTTCGATAGACCTCAAATCCTGGCGAAAGAAAACCGATATCGCCCTAGAATGATTCGAGAAGCCATAGAAATTAAAAAACATCCAAATTTCAATAGGGAAGATGGCTGGGTACTACCATCGTCATGGGATCCTGTTATTAATATAATAAAATCAAATAATAAATATAAACATAACAGACAGGCAGATGTAGTAAGTTCATACTGTGTAGATCAAAATGACAGCTTATCAGATTAATATTTTTTCATTTGTAAAAGTATATATTAATAGTGTTGCTTAGTAAGTTGTTTTTAAATAATAGCAAACTAAATTAAAATGATTATCCGTAATTAATTTTAACTTTTTAAATTACACATAGAACAATTATATGGCTTTAATAATTAATACTATATTTTTATATTTTTATTTATGGTTATAAATATAATAATGGCAACACTAAATATAGATTACTAATTAATATTTTTAAAATTGTAATAATTTAAAAAAAAAAAAAAAAAAAAAATAATAGCAAAAATTAAATAAATAATTTTCCATATTCAATTATAATTAAAATTATAAAAAATGTTTAAAGTTAAAAATATTGTAATGTAATTGGTGCAATTTTCATTTTGTTAATTGTGGGTAGGCTGTCTGTAACAACTATATCTTTAAGACATGTAACACCTCAGTCTCTCCCGTGACCATGGATGCTGTAAAGCATTCGAAACGTCGGGAACCAAAAATCAAACTAAATCCGCGAAATAATCCGAAAAGATAGTTTTATTTAAAAACTAAAACTATTTTAAAACAGATACCACAAGCATCAAAAAACACTTAAGAGTTCATAAAATTTAAATACATTTACGGAGTCTATTCAAAAGTTATCGATATATAGCTTTATTAGATATGCCATAAACAATCTAGTCAAATTAAATTCATAGACCGTTAATAATTTATGAACCGTTTACGATACAAATGAATTGCAATTCGATATTATTAATAGAGACGCAGTCATTAATCCAAACTATAATTAATAGAGACGTACGTACGTACATACGTCTGGAATTTTACAAAATTGCTAACAGTTTCTATTGTTTGAATGTCATGAGTTCGATTTCAATACACGACTAACATTTTGGCTCTAGAAAATATTTATTACTCTATGAATCACATCTAATATTTAGACTAGATTGGTCATTAAAAATTATTTTTTTACGGAGTTTTATTGAGAATTTTGTGTTAGAGTCATAAATATAGAAAAAAACCTCGCTATTTTTCCTTAAAAAGAAGCTTTTTAAGGTGCTATGAAAAAAAAATATCTTTAACGACCAATCTAATATAGACTATCTATATTAGATTGAGATGTCAACAGAGTTCCTTTGCATATAAATGTCCACTTATTGCCTGACGTGATTAATAACCATCCTCTAGACATTTATGAGCTATCCGTAAGATACCCATAACCTGCTAAATTAGGAGCATCCCAAGTATTCGTTCGCTAATTGGAAATACTACACACCGATATCCTTCTCGATATTTTCTCGATTGTAAGAATTTTATGACTCATTTTAAGTTAAATAAAACCTCAAAGCAATTTAAACATTTCAAAAATTTTATTCGATATAAAAAATTTACCGTACTTATAATGCTATAAAATAAAATAACAATTTTATTTAAATTCTTGAACGCTTATTTTTATTTGGCGTAACTCCATGGGGTCCACAGCTCTTGTTTGCTTAACACAAATATTTAACAGGTATCTATCTATATTATTCAAGTTATAACAACTCATTTGACTTATTTTTTGCTTGCAACTTAAATCCTTTTCGCAAAAACTTAAAGCAAAAAACGTACCAACAACCTCGCATATTTTATGCCAGTTAATTATAACGTTGAACAAAAACAATCTATTACTTAACCGTGATTATTTAGTTATTAATCAAACCTAATCAACTCAAAGCTTCATCACGAACGTGATTGCTCGCGAGACTCCATTATAATTACATGCCTTATACCTTCAAAAACAAACACGTTTTTAAAGCGCAAAAAGAATGAGACGTCTTGATTTGTTGATCACGCTCGTTCGAGCCGAGGCGGGCGATTTGGGCTAAAATAATAGGTTGATGCAAAAGGCGCGAGAGACCACCAATTTGGCGGACACCCAAACCAATAAGAAGACGAACGCGATTCCGAAAACCTCCCGAAATATTGTATGTGGTCCGTTTGACGCGCCGCCTGACTACCAAAATTTTTATGTCTTCATCTTAGGATCTCTGTGAGAACCGGCAGAATCATCGATATTTCGAGCGATAAAAAACGGCCATCGATGAACCCGAGGATTGTACGTTTTAAATTCCACCCGCCGGTCGCAATAGTTACCCCGACATTCGTCTAACGCGAAAAAACGTTATTCGAATAGTGGCTTTATATCTTTTTTCGAGGTATTGAATATCGAACAATCGGGTCGATCAATTGGGTTGACTTTGCATTGTATATAACCGGCTATTACCGAGTCGGTTTTCGACTGATGTATTAATTTTTATCGCTCTCGATTGGGCGTAAAATTACTTGGGATGGACGACATATAGTGTGGGTTTGTGGTCACGTGTGGCGATGAATATGAATGTCAATAGATTTGTCTGGCGGCGTCTTTAGATGGCATACGTAGTGATTTTGTAACATATACTAATGAGGCAAACACTAAATTATGAATTTGGTTATTTTTCGAAGGCGGCGAGATAAAGGCGTTGCGATGTAAATTTGTAATGTCATAGATATTTATAATATTCACAGATCGATAAATGATTGCATGCTTGTTGATCTTCTCTACAGATAAGACACTGGCTCATATAGAAATAAAATATTCATCGATTTAAATAAATTACCTACTAATGTTGTAGATCTAACTTAATAAAGGTATTGGTAGAAACTATCAAGTATCAAATCACATTTAATTATATACTTTGATACTAAAATTCTTCATAAATAGTATAGAAAATAAATCTAACCATATAATAAAATTGTAACTAAGCCGAATCTGTACATTAAATATTTTTTGGAAAATCTTATTGAAATAGACATTATTATCGATACAGAGGCAGAATATATAGTTTTAAGAATTTTTGTCTGTCTGTCTGTTACCGCATCACGGAAAAACCACAGGAGGGATTTTGATGAAATTTGATATGATGATAGCTGATTATCATAGGATAGGATAATTTTTATTGCGGGCAAATTTCTCATCTCTGAGAAATCTATACTAATGGTTATAACGTAAGTAGGGACGAACCCGAGCGGAGCGAGGTTGAGTCACTAGTTCTACGAGTATATATCTAGTCTCTATACACAAAAAATTTGCAATAAATCTGAATTTCAATACATTATAGCCTCCTTCAAAGAAATACACCAACTTAATGTAATTCTGCTGTTCGGCCACAATAAAAGTATACAACATCACTACACGCGGAATATATTTAAGCGTAAAAGCAATTTTCTCATTAAAACATCAGTTGTCATAAAACGATTAGTGATCCGTCCGCAAAAAATCTTAACGAGGTTTTTATACCATAATCAAGGCAGGTAGTGCGATATAACACAGGTTCTTAGAAATTGACGAAAAAATATTAAATTTTGAACAGGGTTGATGCCACGCCGCCGTTTTGTTGTTTTTTTAGTGCGCAAGCGCAACGCTGTCAGATGTGCTAAGTTAACTGTGTAAAAGATAGCCTTTTAATAAAGGATATATCTACTTTACATTCAAATGGACATAACTAACGTAATAAAATTTTATATGCATAAGAAATAGGTATTTTAAATGAAATTGGGTCTCTAATATAACAATAAAAAATGCGAACTAAAATGGAATAAGAAAATATTTGCTACAAACTTGAGTGAAGCACTCAACCTAATAGACCAGTCTACTATGTAAACAAATATTCGAAGTTAACTTTTACTTACTTGTTTTTCGTTTTCAAACTTTGTAAATATAAAAGATACAAATGACAGTACAATACTTAACTTAATGGCAATACCATCGAGATGATTTTATGATGGAGCTGAATAATCAATTTTTAATATCTCATTAGTAATGTGTTTTGACTAATTATTTATTTATGTATAATTTTACAATCTCATACATTGCAGTTGCTTCAGAGTGTATGTTTTTAATTTTTTGACACTATTATTTGTTTTTTACTATTTATCAAAATGTACTACTTATAAAAGTATTTAATTGAATTTAACATAAACATTATTATGTACATACATACTTTACTATACCTCATAATTTGAAGCAGGAGTTGAAAAAGAATAGGTAGAGATAAATCTATACTAATATTATAAAGAGGTAAAGTTTGTGAGTTTGTGACGTTGTAGAGGGTAATCTCTGGATCTATTGAACCGATTTAGATGAAATTTGGTAAGGAGATAGTTTGAGATCTTGGGAAGAATATAGGAACTTTTTATCACGGAAATCATTCCTTAAGGGGGTGAAAATGGGGATCAAAGTTTATATGGGGAATCAACCTAGGGACGTACCCGACCGAAGCGAGGGTTAGTCGCTAGTATTATATATATATAGCTAATTCAAAATCTACAGCATAGCAACAGTTTAAATCTAAAATATCATAGTGTATCAGATTTTCCACTTTAATGGATGAACGCATTTTTAATACATTTTGACATAAATATATCTAAGGTCTTAAACGAGGACAACTATTCACA